GCCCCCGCCCGCGCCCGCGCCGCGCCCGCCCCCCGCGGACATGGAGGACGCCGAGACGGCCAGCCTGGGCTCGTCCGTCATCGAGCTGAGCGACACCACGGAGGAGTGGGCGGAGGAGGAGGACATGGACGAGGGCCAGGCCGCCCACGCCCACGCCCACGCCCTCGCGCCCGCCGCAGGTCAGTTCAAATTGTCGGCATACATTCATTCTAATTCTTATTGAACGTGAAAAACATTTAAAACCGTGTGTGACGTACTATGGGAAAATGTGTATTCTGCACATTCAGTTATAAATCTTTATAAATAACGGCATGCATTTTTTTTGACTTTCTGACACTTTGTAAGTAGAGATAAATCGTGTTCCAGAAAACGGCAAATGTTAAGCAGAAAAACTCTTATTGTCGGGTAACGAAACAGGGGATAAATCTTGTTCCTATGTATAGTAAATTACTTCCTCTAACACGTGGTGTAGCTTTCGGCCGGTGTAACCACAATCCATGTTTTGTGGGTCCTTGATACCGAAAAATCGATTGACGGCGAAACGTCTGTCTGTCGTCTGTGGTCAATGCTAGCGCCTAAACCGTTTCCCTTTTTTTAAAAAAAAAATTGTTGTGTCTGCATAGACGCAATCCCTGATCGATCTGAACGAACTCGAGGCTTTTGGAGTTTCAACCATATATTTTGATTTTTAAAGTACTTTAAAAGAAGCCTCAAACATTTTCAAATTTGTCTCAAAAATGGCTCAAAAGTTTTTTATTAAATGACGCTTCAGAGAAAGGTGTAGTCTCATACTCGTTTAAGTCCCTATTTTTTCTAAAATTACAAAGTGTATTTTTTGGCGTCTTCCTACAACTATAAAATAGCAGAATAATAATTTTTGGTTAATGAAATCCGTTCTTTGAAGAGCTTGTCACGTTACTCTCTAGTCAGATGAACGAAAAGTTGTGAATTTGAAACGTGCTTGTTAAAAAATGATGAACGATTATTTCTGAATTTTACGTCGATTGGTAACTGGTGATTGGTGGTTACGGTGATTGGTTTTATGTATAACTGCATTTCTTTTCAAATTTCAGTTATCTTATTACTAGGACATTTCCTACATGGGAATGGGTGAAAACTAGATCAATATAAGTGTTATTTTATGCATTCTGAGAAATCTGTTTAAATCAATATTACTCTAATGTCGAGGTGCTTTGTTTCATCATTAAAACGAGGGCATTTCAATTGCTCTTTAAAACCACGAAAATACATTTCCAGTAAAATATAGCCTAAAATAAAGACGTTTTCTCAGAATTTAAAAAGTCACTTATATCGTTCTGGTTTTTTCCCCATTCATATTGTGTAAGGTTCTCCTTGAGGGAGGACAGTACAGTTTGTAGGTTCTGTCCTTCCTCGAAAAGTGTCCTACGTGTCATCCTTTTCGATAATTTAAAACTAATATGTTAATGTGTAAAATGTGTATTTAGAGATGCCAAGCCCAAAATGTTACGCATGTTATGACGGTACAGTTTAAAATGATGCGATTAGTGCTTCTAGATCGGCGGAATTCTCGCCGTTTTCAACCGTTTCATCTTTAGTATTACAGATATTTCGACAAGCGAGAAATCAATATTGAATGTTGATACTCTAACTGTAGCACCTTCCCCAAAATTCAAGCTGAAGGATATTTCTTGTTCTGAAATTTTCAATGTATTATTAGAAAATTATATATTGTCAAAAAATATTAATTCAATGAAAATATACTCGTTTAACTAAATAATTAAAAGTGACGTAAGTATAATTTGTGTATTTTGGTTTGAATTCAATTCATTTTCATCCAGAATCGACACTTCCATTGTTATAGGTTTTTCCCGGCTTCCTGGGTGTCTAACATAACCATTGACTCTTCTTACATGGCCGATGGCTGGGAAGTTTTACGGCAGTTTCTGCACGCATTTGTTGTTAGTAATATAGATTTCCGTTAAGTTTAACTAGCTTTAACGTACAATATTTTGAACGACAGGAATACAACTCCACATTTCATTGATCATTATACTTTTAACTATTACCAGGAAATACACGCGACCTGGCCACCTACTCAAATATTTTGGTGGACTAGTCCGATACGCTGGTCCTGTAGCGCAGTGTCTCTCCAAAGCCCTCCCGCTTCTTCCTAAGACGACCTGTTTCATTCCAGAGGAATCCCGTGCGCGCTTCGAAGCCGCCAGCGACGTGGCTCGCGACTCTGCCTCGAGAGACCTCGGCAGCGAACAAGGTGAGAAAGACTCCGGCGCCCTCTGCTGCGGGGGGCGTCGTGCGTAAGGAGTCAATCGAGTTTCATCTTCTTTGGTCACACTATTAAGTACGCACCACGCTCTTCTCGGCAGAGAAATCGTAATTACGTTGGGGTTTCTTTTGACGTTACGATGTGACACAAATTTATCTGAATAAGGTATAATAAACAGGCACTCTAGAATATCTAGTATTTTCGCCCAATACCTTGTTACATACGATATTTACTTTTTTTTATGTTTCACCTAATTTTCTGTGAATTTTTAATGTTCCTTTGTCAAATGCTTGTTAGTTGATTTACTTTTACAGTATAGATTAAACAAGTCATTCTGTTGGCTCAACATGCGCCTCATTCTATTTGAGGGAAGTTTCCCAAACATCTCTACTAAATCAAAAATAAACTATGTGTATTGCTTTGCAATTAAATCTATGAAGTTCAGTACGTTTTAAATGTGATGCATTTCACAAAGGAAATATAATTGTTTCTTCCTTCATTACAGCCATGCAGAACCGCTGGTCCCAGATATTTTTGCTATGAATGATGTTTAATTGGTTTATATGACTGTTCACAAATTATTTAATATTTTATACACATTTTTGTAAAGGGTTATTTTTAAGTATTTAATTATATTTGTGTTAAATATGTATGTAGAAATACGTATGAGTATTGTTCGCTTTTGCACATTTCTCACTTCTCTGTAAGATATTTAGGTTCAAATTGTTTTAACTTGTGTTGTTCCTTATATATGGCACAAAGTATGAAGCCTAGAATCAGTAAAATTACATTTTTCAAGATAAGAAGAAAACTTTGAGCCAAATAATACAATCTTGATTATTTGAATAACACCTACCAAAAATATATTTTTGGAATAAGTGGGAAGAAATAATAAGTATTAAGATAATGATCAACTTCAACAATTCTTCGAGGTAAGTATAAGCAAATATTGATATGTACCCTCTAAATAAGATAATTTATTTCTGAGTACAATTCACAGAATTGAGCAAGACTGAAAATGATCAAAAAATTGGATGCCAACTTGCTACTGCACGGCAAAATACAATATACTGAGGATATGCTTTACGGTAAAGTAATATTTTACTTATTCTCTTCCACAGTTTTATATGTAAAATTCAGAATTAAGTGCTAATATTTAATAAAAATGGCAAGCATAAACGTACATCATCCGGCGAAAATACAGATTCACTGCAATTTAATGCAACTTGTATTCCTTTCATAGCAGAATCTCACAAATTTCACAAAGGCTTGAAACCCGGGATTACATACACTAATTTCAATTCCACTTTGTTTGCTATTTCTCCGTGGATAATTGATTTTTCGTTTCCTTCACAATATTTAGTGATCACAGGGATACACCCAAAGATGTTGTCGGAGGAGCATCATTACAACCTAATTTTTGGTATTGAATCGCACGTTTGGATAACCGCGTCCCAGCTCATCAAGTATGAGGCAGGCCTGCACAACACCTGCTCACGCGGGCATTCTGCACTTACGAGCCAGCCGTCTGCCCGCGAGAGCTACCAAAGTGCAAGTGGTGGGGTGAAGGCAGCTTTGTGGGAGGGGAGAAGCGGGAGTGAGGAGGATGCTACACGTAGATTGAATTCCTGGGCGCCTAATGCAATGATCCATGCTATGAAATGATTTGCTCACTTATTTAAATGGGTAATCTACCGTATTTCTAGCTACAAGGGCCATATTTCACTGTTTATGTTCTTGTGTGCACTGCTAGGTATCGACATTTTTTATTTGTTTCTTGATGCTCATTGTAACTCATAAACAATATTTTAAAGCAGTGGCCTCTTTTAACATTTGTTATGTAATTTTACTGACAAAAATGTACAATTTAATAATTGATTTTTCACTAAGAATGTCATAATTTCCGAATGAGGGCAAAGCGGAGGAAATTGAGAGCAGTCTCTCACATCGAGATTGATATGAAAATGAAATATAGACAATTCCAAGAAGGGTAACGTTTTGCAGCACATATATTGGTGACCATTTTACCTCTCATTTGAAGCTGAATAAGAGATACCAACGAGCAAACTCCTTTTACGATATTTTAACCGCAAAAATTACATATTTGAGTCTTGTTACGAAGAACGCAAATGAGTTTAATCTTTTTATACGATTATATGAAAATATAGTATTCGTCGGAAATTAGAGGAGAAAGTAATCATGATTTTTTAAGAATAGGATTTTTAGCTTTTATAGAACAGTATTAGTCAATTAAACATAGGCAATGAAAAAATAATTTGTCATCATCAAATAAAAAAGATTCACTATTACAATTTTGTATTTAGTAGCACTCTAAATTTGCGATTACATCGTAGAGCTCAAAGCAAATTACATTATCCATCCTAAAAGCACTTGTAATACTGCTATCCAAATCAAATATGTATAACTAATTCGTTTTAGGTTCACATTGTCATACATGGGCAACAAACATTTCCAAAATAAAAGGTAATAATTCTTGAACTAAATGTAATAGTCTGTCATATTGCAATTGCTCTTTCAATTGGTTCTAATTGCGCATTCGCATTGGC